CCGATCCACCCAGTAGTCTGTAACTGGCAACGACACAACACGTCAGAGGCTGGTCAGATGTGGTGTGGTTTGGCAGCCCCACGTTAAGTAGACAAACCCCAACCACCTCTAATACGGGACCAGTGTTAATAGGGTTTTTTACGGGTGGGACCGGGGAACGCACAGGCAACGGGGTCAAGTAATTGTATGCAAAAGAAAAGCTATTCGGAATGCGCGGTTGTACTTTGTTTGGTTGAGATGTATTCGCCCTAACGCCTAACCTCCAACCCCAACCCCTAAACACCACCCATATCCCCAAGCCTAACAGTATTGTGTGCATCAGGTTGGACTTCATGACCCTATCCTACCGAAGATTGCAGTCCGCGACTCTTCCACAGCAGTCGGCGACGGTTAAGAGCACACCAGTGACAAACCAACCTTCAAGCGATTTTGGTAAGACATATTTAATAGGCTGGTAGCCGGCTACTTCAGTTGCTATTAGAGGCCAGTGGTGAAGGTGGTATAACACCAGTCCAAACAGCCCTGTTTTCGGCTGCATTATTGTGCATAACACTGCCGTAGGGTTCACGGGAGTCAACGATCCGGTGACGTCAACTTCATTCATGCTGTGTTCATACAGTATGTCCAGCTTCCTAGAAATAGGTAACGACCACCGACGTTTGGCTTAAAGGGCAAGCAGTTTCCTAGAGCCAGAGCTTTCTCCAGAAAGCCCAACTTTTCAGGCTTGCATGACTTCTGGTTGATTCGGAAAGACTATGCGACTGCGTGCCAGCTATAGCAATCAAGTCCTCAGGCAAAAAGCATTAGAGATTAGGGTGCAGGCGAATTATCCTCACGTCAAGAACGGCCCTTTGTAATAGTTTTTTTATTTTAAAGATTAATATTCAAAATAAAAAACTGCCCAACCCTCACTGCCTCTTAACACCCCGTCCCTTATTTATTTCCGCCCTGTTCTCACAGCCCACTTGTGTGAAAATACGGAATGTAATCCATTTCTTTTATTTCTCACATGATTTGCTCGTGCGCCGTTCCCATGTGAATGCACTTCCCGATGGAAATTTATCCAGGCATGCGTTCGCCCGCTAACTAGTCTTCTGAATCCTCCCATGAAAATTTGCTTGACTCGAAAACCACATCGTTAGATTTACTGCTTTTTTTAACGTCACAGGGAGAATTTCTGAACAGAAAACGTGAATAGCACCCTCTATGTCAGCAGATGTGACCAGGTGTTCACCCTTGAGGCGCCTCTCAAGGCCGTCTAGCCGAACATAGATGCCACGATAGCACAAAATAGGGAACACTTCTCTTACTTTTCTTGCTGCGCTAGTATGTTGCGAAGATGGCGGGGCGTCTATAAACCAACGTATTCAGGAAAGTGACAGGCACAACTCGCATACTGGATCTTTACAAAAATCTCTAAATTAGTCATCGATGAAGTTCCACAAGGAAGCACGGCAAAAAAAACAGGAAAACAGGGTTCCTACTGATGATGTTCTTTTCAGAGACTCTTCAGAGCCAGCGGTTAGCCGTGAGAAATCGTTAAACGGCGTTGAACGCAATAAAGAAGGCTGAAGCAAGAGCATAATCAACCAAAATCGTGGCAGAGCATTCCGTAAATGGGGGAGGTCTCCGAAGCCGTGGTTAGATGCCTCCCGCCACTCAGAACAGGGGCAGCTCTCACAGCTCCGCCGGCAACTGATGCCGCCAATAGACCCTATCCCCAAACAGGAGATTCGCCCTTTGTCTACCGACTTCAGTGCAGCTGTGGGATGCGCAACTGCGTTGGGGAAACCGGCCGGTGCCTGCAAACGCGAATGCACAAGCATCGCTTGGCGTGCGAAGGTTGGACCCAAGGTCGGAGGTGGCAACCCACGCTGCGCAAATGCGACGCCTCTTTAAAGTTGACGCCGTGGAGGTCGTAGGCAGAGGTGCTAATCCGACAGCAAGGCAGATGCAAGAAGTCTGGATGTCCACCGACGGCTCAGTTAACCGCCACACTTATTTGCCTTCTCCCCCCTACCTGGTTTTACGAACCGTCGAGGCCGTCAAATATCTCCGCGGTCGACGAGGGCGGGGTTGACACAGGTCACAGTTAATTGCGGATTGGATGCAGCCACTCACTGGTGGGATATACATCAAACAACCTTCTGGTCGGTGAAGAAGATGGGTAGGCGAAATAACTGCTCGAAATGTCAGACTTCCAGTAAATCTCTCCTTGTGTACGCCTTTTTTGATGTGTCACTTAAGATTATTGATTGAATGAATATGCATGCTACCTAGGCTCATAGAGAATGGCTCGGCTTTGCGAAACGCATTATGCAAAGCCGACATGAAAAATCAAAACCCGCCCAGCGCCAATTTTTGCGGACTCCCTTGTCAACATCTCGGATGCTGTAAGCCGCCCTCCCATGGTACCAACACCCGTGATAACGGCAAGACAATCCCGGTTTAATCGAAAAGCCCACAAAAATTCCGTACGAAATGTTGCGTGGTTTCGAGCAAGAGGGAGCTTCACTGAAAAGGCAAGAAGATCAGAACAAGTATCGGTGTCGCAAGGGAACGAATGAGAACATTTGCCAAGTCGTGGCTCAATCGACGGGACTCGGTCGCGCATTCTGCTTAGAGAAGGCCAAAATCCTCACAGCAGGAGCCGTGTGATTCACAGACGATGAGTCATGGCTCTCTGTGACCAGCGCGGCGCGGGAAGCGCGCAGGCGAGCTCTGTTTTACTCTGGCAGTGCTCGTGAGCCAAACTGCTTAGTCATTGTTTTACTAATAATCCACGCTGGTAGTCAAATCACGGCGATGAAGGACTGTGATGCGGACGGCTAAATCATTAATGCGCCAAACACGAGTAGCTGTGGTGACTATCGAAACTGGTAGTTGTAGTGGGCGTGTGTTGACTCGTCGCCCCTCCCTTCCCCCCACCCCAAAACGGCTTATGCGGGAGTAGCGTTGGAGCAACACGGGACTAGATTATGGGTGTGGCGACACGTCTAGGCGTGTGCCCACGCCGCGCCGGTCACTAGAGCCTGATTTCATCCCCGGTCTTCTTGATCCTGTCCTGACACCGGGCTCAGGCGGGTAAGGAGGGCAGAGTGCGATAGATGCGGCGCAAGTCTGCCATCAGCATAAACTCATTCACGCACAAGTCGCCGTCCTTGTGGTCACCCCGCTGTGAGGCACATGGTTGATCTCGTCGGGAACAACGGTCGAACT